TTTTGAGAACCCTGCATCAAGCCTTTAATCAATGTCTTAATAATTCTTCAGTATAAAACCCTCCTCTCCCAAGCAAAACAAAGCAAAACGACCAAAAAGAAAACAATAGAAGAAATCTAACCCCAAAGTCTAATTCAGATTGCAAAGTTGACAGCTATAGGTAAATATTAACCATATTTTAATCTTGGGTTTCAGGGCAACAATGGCGTGTTTTCGTACAACCTCGAACGCGCTGGAGGCAAGTTCACTGTCACGCCTGCTGGCTACATTCTGGTCAATGATAAGATCGATCGTGAAACTGAAGATGTGCATTGTTTTCAGGTCAGTCGCATGTAATTATTGTTCAGTAGCTTTGATCACTCGGTATCAGATTTTCTTTGTCTCGCATAACTAACGCTACCAAATCAGGCAAAGCATTGCTCGGGAGTTTTGTTTGAATAGTCACTCAAGTCCCTGGCCAACAACATGTTATAGATCGCCGTACTTGTCACTCTCTAGAGTCTTGTTCTCGCTATTATTAACAAGTCGAGATTGTTATCGTCTTTCATGGGGTTTCACGCCAAGAACATGCGTTTGAAAAGAGTAATGTGATTCTTTCGTAGTGATTAGGTCTTCTAACTACTCCTCAGTTTAAGTAAACCTGCCGAGCACGAAGTAACATATCTCCCCACAGCATTTTCCAAACGCCTCCTCCTGTCTAGTGTACTCTCCTACGAAGAGCTTCTCTGGGTTGTAGCCTGTTTAGCTGGCGGGATTCGCGAGCGAGTGAGCTCCGACGGCGAAGCCGACATTTATCCTTACCAATCCCCTCGCCGCTTCGCCGCCAAAACAAAAGCGCTCGCGCGCGAAATCCCGCCAGCTACGCAGGCTACTCTAGCTTCGAAGCTCGTCACGCAAGCCTCTGTGTTGGAGGCTACTCCTCTCCCCTCCTGGTGCAGCCCATGCGCTTATGTTACTCATGAACGTCGTGCTACGAGTTCTGTAAGCCCAGCTCTCTGGCGAAGTTGGCGAAGAAGATCGAGACGCCGACGTCTAAACAACAAAGCTATAGCCAGGAAAAGCATTGGATGTAGACCTTCTACTGGCTTGTCACCAATCTTTTCTTAATACTACCGAGACGAAGGACTGCGTGACAAAGAAGGAGAATGTCAGTGTTTACTACCAGTTAGCTACCAGGTGACTACTTAGGCTGTGAAGAAAATTACTTTACTTTGTACAGTTCGCGCCAAAGCGCTCTGTCGCGAACGGACGTTATGAGAGGTAGCTGTATTGGTAAGCTAGCGGTAGCTTGTTTCGAATAGTGTGTTGTCACTTTTCTTTAAGGTCGTCGCAAAGGAGACTTTGACGTCGGAGCAATTACAGGCCGTTGCATCTGTCACGGTCAATGTCACGGACTTGAACGACAACAATCCTGAGTGTTCTCAAGCCGTTTACAGGGAGACTGTGTCCGAGAACCGACCAGAAAACACGTTTGTAGTACAGGTGAGAAGAATGCGTGACACAGTCACGCATTACTTGTTACTTCATAACTTGTTACGTCATAACTAGGAAACGGATAAGTTTTTGTCTCGTCATCATACATTTTACCAACTAATTATGGATTAGAATTCCAGAAAGAACAAGTTTTGAGACAGCTAAAACGCTATTTCAATACCAAAGTTAGAAACTCAGGATTCCTTATGGCTCGAGAATTATTACTGGCCGAGGAAAATATTAAATTCGGTTTTCGAACCGGCCGCATCCTATGCAGGTCGACGTACAATTACATCACAGGAAGCCCAAGTTGTACATCACGCTGAGCAACTGGCAATTAAAAGCAAAGCGCTGTTACCTGACGACTGAACTGCAGGTAATCATGGAAAGACTGTCTCCGAGAAGATTGTGCTGTTATGAATTTTACGGTGTTGGACGGGTATTAGTTAACATATGACATTTGAGTAATCATTTGTTTGCACAGATCTCTGCCTCAGACCCTGATCTAGGACCAAGTGGTACCGTCCGCTTTAGTCTTGTCCCAGACCCCAATGACCATTACAAGTCCTTTACCATTGATCCTCTCAATGGCACCATTTATACCACGGCCAGTTTTGACCGTGAGGAGTTGGGCCTCTATAAGCTAACTGTACGAGCCACAGACCAACCGATCAGTGGACAGGCAAGGTAGAGATTTTACTTTTCTACAATGAATCAACCAGCAGATAAGAATTTATAATATTCATCGATAAAAAAAAAAAAAAANAGACCTCTACGGCTTGTTTCACATTGAAACATATCCACGTGGAAATGAGATATGGAAACAATTCGCTAGAGAACATCATATACCTTCAGCTGAAATAGGCAATTTACATACAGGAGAAAATGAGGTAGATCGCACTCACCTTGGTATCCAGGAGATTTTAAGGCCTCTCACTGCCTCCTCGAACTGTTGCTTGGGCTGAAAATTGCACAAAGAATTACTAATAGTAAATTCTTGAAAGATGATAGAGGGGTTTTCAATTGATTGTCGAAAGTAATCAGGCAATTACTTTGGTTTTGGTTTTGCTACGGTTTGAGATTGGCTGCGTAGTGTAACTGGTAAGTAATTAGTTTTGTTTTGGTTTTACGACACTCCACTGAAAACTGCTCTATACACACACGCACCTCAAACAAACAAAAAAACAAACTCCAGCGAAACAGTTAACTCAAACTGAGACTGAAGCCGTCACCTTACCTCACTTAACCCTAATGATGATCAGAATATAATTTCTCCTCACAATATGAATATCATGTCAAGTGTGTTGCTTATGAGAAAGCAGGAACTTATCACAAAGACCGATTCCTTCAAAGTACAATCGAATTCCAGAACTTGCACTGAAGTAAACACGGCACGGCATCGGAGTAGGAGATCGAGCACGAGCAACGACAGACCTAGAGCGTGCGCTGGTCGGCAACAGGAGGAGTGAAGGCTGTGGGAGCGCAACTAGACTAAAATTCGAAACTTAAGCTCTTTCTCGAATAACTAATGTCTAGATGTCCATAAATTCTTTCCTTGAACTGTACCTGCTTTTCTTCTGGTTTGTTCGTGGCAGCTTTATTGTTCTGTTTATTGGCTGACACAGGGACAATAAACTGGACTGGATACGTGCACTGTAACAATTATAAGCGTAACAGAAAAAAAGTTACCTTTCCCTCCGTAAAATTACAATTACAGTCTGAGCCCTACCACGAAAATCTCCTGAGCCCACGGTATCAGGGATGTTGCTAAGTAACATGACACGTGCGGATTACGACAAGCTCACGTGACAGTTTTCGGAAAAACTCGTCTTGATTTTGATAGGACAAAAGGAATCGGGAAGTCTTCGGATCTTTCAGCTAGAATTCAACGGACACGGGGCTGTTTCTCTGCCAAATAGCTGAAAAAATTCCAAAAAGCTCCCTACGTACAATTTTCTTCCTCCAACATTTTCTAGTACTACCACTATTTCTCTTCGTTTTTGACATCTCTTACACTATTTAAATTCAAAAATAAAACAAAAAGCTGAGATAAAAGTTTCGTTTAGTCGGTTCATGAATTAGTAAATAAATATCTTAACTGTCTGACCACTCCCCCCTGTGGGATTTTTTACGGCCAATGGAAACAAACAATGAAACAAATAACGCTAATGAACATAACATGGTTAAAACTGCCAGCTGGCAGGAGACAGACCAGTTGGCTATTTTACAACCGTGGCCAAGGAGTTGAACTCGGGTCTACCGGAAACAATCCCAGCTAGTGGCCAGAAAAGGACTTGATCCCGCGATCTCCGGATTTCAAGTCCGACGCCACAACCGCTCGGCAACGCTGCCTCCTCCTAGTGAATGCAAAACAAAGCAAAATACGAATTCCTATCCTTACCGCTTTTTTACCAGTCTCACTTTTCACGTAAGAAACTGTCCCCTTTAGAATGTGACCAGGCTTGGCAGCTTTGGGAATCCTGCGTTTGAGAAAAGGGGTTAAAGACCATAAACTTTAGAGTAAGATTATCAAAAAATCATGGTTATATCTTATGGGATACAAAGCGTGGCTGAAAAATTCTGTCTGCTTAGTTTTCCTGAAAAGTGCAATAATTTATTGACAACTGCAAACAATCTTCAGAAAAATGGCCATTGGGTTTAACAAGATTCTCAAAGCCATGGCGAAAATGACTTGGTTAAAACAGTAGGTAACATGGATTTCCTTCAACGCACTTTCATTCTAAATTTTACAGCAAACGTAAAAACCAATCCCAAAACAAAGGTTATCCGCTAAGACAAAGCCAATCATTGCGACAACAACTGTGTAATAGGCCAAACAGAACTCGAAGCTAAGCTATAACAAAACAAGGGCGGGAAAACATTTGACCAGTACCCAACACGAATAAAACAACCAGCTACAAGCTCGGGAGAACGTGTAGCCGGCAAAAAAGGCGCGAAACATGTGACCAGTAACAAGCGCGCATGAAACAACCAGCTGCAAGCGGCGGAAAAGGCGCGAAACAGGTGACAAGAGCAAGCGTGTAAGAATGTGTTAACGGTGGAAGGACGGGAAAGCGAGTGACCGGCAGCAAGAGCGGGAAAATTGATGCAAATTCAATTACAATCTGTTATAATTTTCCTCTTATTGGCCAACACAACATCTATGTCATCTTTGTTACGTATATTGCATGGCTTTTTTTATTGGAAGGTTGTTATAAAAGTGAGAAAATGCTAAACCGCTTACTTGTCATCCGCCACCGGCATAATGTAAACAGGACAGCTAGCGCCAGGACCCCGCGTGCATGAACTGAACTTGCCGGATTTCATGGAAGCAAGACGCGAGGAATGTGTTTCTAGAGTAATGGCGGGAGAGAGCTTCTGTTCTATTAATACAACCATGTCTTTGAGTTTCTCAAGTTGATCCTTGTTATCATGGCGAACCTGCAACGCCAGAAACACAAAATTAATTTACTCTGGTAAGGACTTAACTCACTTTCAATGAAACGCTTTTTACCAGCCTCAGCCTCATTTAAGATCACCTCATGTGTCTCCTACCTGAAGCTTAAGAACGTAGTCTCCCTTTTCTACCTTGACGGAGTACTAAAAAGAAAGAAAGAAAAAAAAGAAGAAAGCCCAACCAAATAATTAGCAACATAAGTCCTGAGTGATACAGGGCAAGTTTTGCTCAACAGTTCAAAGCTTTGAAAAGCAACTTTACAATCTACAAATTAAGTTGCCTAAAATTACGTCGTTGTGAGACAAAAAGTCCCTCTTTCTGCTTTTCAGGAAAACTTAGAGAGGCTGAGTCGACTCTACTCCACTCATCTCTTGAGAGGTCCATTGAATGAGTAGCAGTCGAGGGAGTCTCGATAAAACTCCTCGGCCACATGAAGGGCATCATGGGAAGGAAGAAACAGAGAGAAAGACACTCCCTTCATTTCTCCTTCCCATCACACCTCGCGTTCGCACTTCCATCGTTCATATTCCACGGAATTTCGAGACTCTTAATAATACCCCCAAAAATCTAAGGTTGCTTCAATAACAGTCTGTTGGAGGCGTTCTGTTAATTGGCGAGCAACGCGAAGAACGCACTAAATCCCTCGTCTTTTCTACTCGCCATTCTTCGTTGGAAAGTCTTCGTTAAGGAAATCTGCGTACCGCTGAACAGACTAACCGAAGGCCTGAAAGAGCCTACCCATTTGGAAGTGAACGTACAACAACTCGGCCTTAGTCTTACCCGGTCAGCAAATGCATCTCCGCTTCCCAGCATCCTCTTGTTTGAGTCGAAAATCATCCAGAGCTGAGACTCGTATTCAGATTCATACAAGAGGTCCGACAAGTATGTGGCATTGGGGCTAACTTCACCTGCCTTGGACTAAAATGAAAAAACAAAAGAAGAAAGTTATCTCGCATTGCATATACTCAGAATACATCAAGTAAAACGTTTTCGGAGCCCAGTGGCTTGCCTTCGTAACGATGCGAAAAGGCGCTGCCTCTTTTATTGTTACACACCAGAAAGTGGTAATATTTGCACTTTCACAGACGCACCTGATGGAAATTGTAAGTGAGAGTCAGGGCATAGATTTGCCGTCCATTTGGCAGGACATCCCTTGAACCAAGCGGACTAATCTTGTGTTCTGAAGGTCTGAAACAAAGAGAATGTGAGCGATCAGGAAGCTGCCTCATTCGACTACGCAACAGTCACACAAGCTACCGTCACTCGACGCTATCAGTGTGTAAATAGAAAAGCTGCTCGCTAAAAACACACGAAGAACGCTAATGTCTATTCAGCAAACCAGGCAAAAAAAAAAAAAAAAAAAAAGTTTAAAATATGCAAGTGTTAGCTAATTGTTGAGAATTTGAGACGTTCGTAGTCGTTTGATGCTGTTTTCATTTATTCACTTTAGATTTGGAGACTGTCAAGTACAAGTTACAATTGGCGATGAAAATGACAACAATCCAACTTTTACGAATTTACCAAACGAGACAAGCGTGTCTGAAGGAGCTTCTACGAATACTGCCTTCTATACTGTCATGGTACGTATTCGCACGCTCATGGTGACTATACTTGGTAAAAAAAAAAAAACGAAAATTTGGAAACTTCTTTAACCGTTTTACTATGATTTTTATCTTAAAGGCTGTTGACGCCGATGAAGGTCTGAATGCTTTTGTTAGCTATAGTATTTTCTCCGGGAATACTGGTGGCGCTTTCGCTATAGATCTAAACAGGTAATGGCACAACGGACTTGTATAAAACATTCTGTTGATGTTCAGTTTACCTCTTGAGAGAGACGCTTGAGATTTGAGCCCGATGAATTAAAGACACAATCGTTCTGATAGGTTGTTGTTGTTCTTGTTGTTGTTTTTTTGTCGGTAATGAGTTTATATATAGAGCAACAAGTCAGGAAAGCTACTCTGAATTACCGAGTACTACTTCAGAAGTGCGGATTTTTTCAACGGCTCGAATGTCACTCGTCTCAGCTCTCTCACGACTGATGGAACAAGCACAGGGCAGGAGGACTTGTGCTCTCTCAGGATACCGACCAAAGAAGATGTTATTTTCGTTATCAACTGACGGTGAACATTTCTCCCCTTGGCTTTCAGCGGAACCCTCTCGACTCTTCAAAAGCTGGACAGAGAAACTAACGCCCAGTTTTCTCTAGAAATCACGGCTAGGGATGGGGGAGGAAAGGTTTGTAGCGCAGTTACTGCACAATCATGTTTTCTGGTTTGTTGAGAAGTTAACGTCATTGTATTTCTCATGAGAGGAGCAAGGCGGATATTGAAGAGTATATGAATAGTAGGCGCAGAAGCAAAGGTGTAAGGGATGATCCAGGCACACACGACATAGATCCAACGTTGGCAGCGTTTATCGTATGCGGTCCCTTGCAGTTTTTGGTTTCTCACACACGACATAGCACACTCAGTAGTACGCGCAAGTTAGAGTTCGCGCGAGTAATAGTATGCGCGAGTAAGAGTACGCGTGAGTAAGAATACGCGCGAGTAAGAGTACGCGCGAGAAGAAGTACGCGCAAGTAAGAGTACGCACGGTAGGAATGGAAACTTACAACTGAACACTGTCATTGTTATTCCTAAAAAACCTGCAAAAAGGAATAACGAGTCTATGGTTGCAAGGATTACTTTGACGACGACCAAGAAAAGACAAGTGGTGATTAACATTGTAAACGTTGTGAAAGATGTATTTTGAAGGCGAATGGTGTTTAGAATAGGCATAAGAACCAGCGGCAGACTACACCACAGTATTTTTTAAAGAAAGAAAGAAACCGATAATTGTTTTGGTCCTGTTCACATTGGTCATGGTTAGTGAAAAGTTATCTGCAATGTTGTAAAGTATTTTCTCTAGGGTAAAATCTGGTGTTGAGCGCCTGAAAGACGTCATTAGTGATGTCAGACACAGCAGTCGAGAACGCCTGGCTGAAGTTGTTCGCGCACTTTGCAATCTAGTAGCAATACATGCATGATATGTTACTTCTTCACAGGCAACAACCGAGAGTCTAGTGGTTCATATCATTGACGTCAATGATAACCCACCCGTATTTACTGAACCCGAGGGATACCATTTCACCGTAGATGAAGGAAAAGCTGGTCTGATCGTGGGGATGGTCACGGTAAATAAACATCGCATTAGCGGTTTGGAAAATCAATCATTAGAGTCACCAAGTGGTGGTAGGAGATGGGGGGAGGGGATGTAAAATGTAGGGGCAAAACGTAGGAGGGATGTTGAAAAGGGGTTGCCGGAATTAACTGTAAGAATGTAATTTCTGTACCTTTACATGTAGAGCAGGATTCCATACACAGTCTTGCACTATGTCAAGGCAATGATTACTAGGAGCAACACCACCTTAATATGATGCCCGGGGTGTCACAACTGGTTTAATGTCTTCACAACGGAAACTGAACTATCAAGCAGTTTGAGACAGCTGTTTTACTAATAACTCAAACTGTGTCATTTTTACAGGCAATTGACGATGACGAAGGCGTCAATGCAGAAGTCACTTACAGCCTCAAACCTGTAGAAGACTACATGAAGTAAGTTGCTCAAAAAAGTTTTCATGTTGATGTTGACACAGAGTTAGGCTGTTACGAAACATCGTATGTAAACGACTCGAGTTTTCGGAACCGAGCGAGACCGTCTAAAAAGCTTTTCATTGTATTCCAGTATTCATTCTACAAAGCATAGTTAATAGAGGGGACTGGTTATGAGGTCCGGCAAACAAAAAAGGAGCAAACAAAGATGCCAAGATTTATGTTGGAAGGTCCACGACCGTACACAATCTTTTGTTTTTCGCTCATGCAGTATGCATGAATTACGCAACCAACACGTTTCTATTGGTTAATTCTTCAGTACGGAGTAAACAACTATTGTGTTTTGTGCACGGTCAAGTCCAAAAAAGAGAACAAAACATACAACAAAGAGCTTTGTCGAATTTCATAACCATTCCTCCTATTAACTATGTACAAAGCGTATATTCTTCAGTCTTGATATTACGTTTCTTATGGCAGATTTTCGATCGACAAGGCCTCTGGCGAGATAAAGACGGTCACTGCATTAGATCGAGAGACCACTGACCAACACATCATCAGGGTTATAGCTAAAGATAAAGTCAACGAGGTTGAAGTTCAAGTTATGATAAATGTCTCCGACATCAACGATCATAGCCCGGTATTTAGTCAGCGGCACTACGTTGTGGCGGTGAAAGAACAACAACCTGCACATGTCATCTTGAATCTGACGGTTTGTTGACTCTCGTTTCTTAGAACTTGCTTTTGGTTTGTTGTGATACTGAATGTAATGAAACGTTGCAATAATACGTGAATACGTTTTTGTACGTTGATCGCAGCTATTGCAGGCGAAACGCTAAATATAAGCAAACTAAGACAGAGAAACGCGAAGGAGTAATATCACTGAAAACTAGAGCACTGCGCACTAAGCACGGCATTCCCTAGCCTCTTTCAGACGTTCACTTATATAATTAGTTGGGGCGCAGCGCGAAAAACGGCGAAGGAAAAAATAGGAGTGAAGCAGGACGAGCAAAAAGGGAAAGAACGCCTGTAGGCAAACTTAACAAGAGGTCGCTTTATCTCGCCGCGCTTCTCTTCTATTTTTTCGCTCGCCGTTTTTCACGCTGCGCCCCAACTAAGTGAACGCCTGAAAGAGGTTAGTCATTGTCGGATGTTATTTACGCGCGCTTTTGTAGGACAGCTGCATTTGAAAAATTTCCCCCTCTCGTGGATCTAGAGGTTAATTCAACTACTTTTACTCGCCAAAAAGTTAAACTTTGCAGCTTTTTTTCCCTCAAATTTTATTTAACCACTTCGTGTCGTCCCCTTTCCTCTGTAATCTTAATTGTGATTGAAAATGCGGTCGTCCGATTTTGTTACTCGACTTTATGACCGAAGATCCTACGGTGTATTAACATTACTTAAATGTCTGACTGATGAAAGTACTTTTTTGATCTAGGCAACTGACGGGGATATTGGTATCAATGCTGCCTTTTTGTATTCAATCCTGTCCGGAGATTCTGATAACAGTTTCACTGTTGATCCTGCAAGCGGCGCGCTTTCCACCACCGGCCCCTTGGACCGAGAGGAACACGACTCCTACATTTTATTGGTTCGTGTGTCAGATCTCCATGGTAACCACAGTTATGGCGTAGTGTTTGACGATTCCACAGTCGTTGAGGTGGTTGTCGAGGTAAGCGGGCTTTCTTGTTAAGGCGGATTCCATTCCAACTCTTCAGTGATCGTTGTGACAACGAATCAGCACTCCTAACATGAATATCAGAGGCTTTTCTTTCGTCGCGGCCTCTGACCGACCCAAAGGATCTCGCCGTATGACTGAGAATATCAAGGGTATACATTGTCCATTGCGTAAATCGACTAAAAACGACCGAAATCAAAAGATTTTTTTCATGGGATTGAATAGACATGGTGGACTTTTTCCTTTACTCTGTTCTGATCATTTTTTTAACTTCGTTATGCTGATGTAAATTGACAAGGCAACTTTAAGTGATCGTTCTTGGGAATTATTACGGAAAATGCATTTTCTTCTATGAAGGGAGAGATTAAGTACACATAATCTGAAAAATAAATATGCGATTCTTATTTTGTTTTTAGAACACAAATGACCACAGTCCCTTGTTTCCCAACTCTATGTATCAAGTGGACATATTCGAGAACATCACCACCGGAACAGCCATTTTACAAGTCTCGGCCCAGGATCGCGATATCGACCAACTCATGGGACTGCGATACTCCATTGTCAGTGGTAACAGTCTTGAGAGGTTCTTTATTGATGCCTTCAGTGGTGTGATATACGTAAAAAGTCCCATTGACCGAGATCCTCCGAGAAGCGAGACTTCATTCTTATTGACGGTAATGAAACACGAAATCGACTATTATATAACGAAAAATGCTCTACCAGGGGAGGGGAAGGGAAGGGGTACTTTCTTTTCCCTTTTTAAGCGAAACTTTTCTCCGCTAAACTTGAGTCACTTAAATTTTCGGGGAAAAGCACAACTTGAGGAAAGGGGGGAAATGATTCGAGATGTTGTTATATGCAAACAAACTTTTGCCCAGCGAGTGAAAATGAATGAGGAGGAGGAGGAAAGACAAACGTTATGCCTCTAGTTCACTTATTTGGATTAAACTTCTAGGTTTAAGGGTATTCCTTGGGAACTTGTCTCATCACCTATCAGCTATTTGAGTCTGTTATTATCTTTCTTAGGTCATGGCAAAAGACGAAGGCAAATTGTCTTTAAACTCCACTACAAAGGTAAAGAAGAAAAGAATAACTGTTTTATTTATTGCGTATTATACTACGCTTTATATGAAAGGAGAACGAGCTCAAGATCATGTCGATATTTTTTCTCAGAAGTGTGTCTCATTGAATAAACGATATCTCTCTCTCCGCATTAGTTTATTTGTTGGCAAAACCAGAATTTGGCTTGGAGAGTCAAATAACTCATAAGTAACCTCAAAAGAGAGTGCAGACTTGCAGGAATTTTTTTCCTTTTTTATGGGTAACATTCCGTTGGGCAAAAACGTTTTTTCTTACTTGCGTTTTCTTTGGTGATTGGCAGGTCAACATTACCGTATCTGATGTGAATGACAGTCCACCAGAGTTTGAATCAGGTAAGCTCTTTTAGCTAAACTAGAATGGATCGTAGACAGTAAGATCCAGAGTGGTGAGGGAGGAGTAACTGTGTGCGTGACCTTATGTCACTTACACTCAACAACGCGCTGATATATTTTAAAGAGCGAACAGACCTTGATTTCTCCTGGTCACTAGGAGTTCTGGTGGCACATTACACGTAATAGTCTTCAACTCAACAAGAAATTGGTAACGCATTCTTCATTGCATTGTTATAGCTGTGTACACTGTGACCACACCACCGGTAACGCATTCTGCAATAATTTATTCTAGCTGAGTACGCTGTCACAATGTTATTGGTAACGCGTTCTTCCCCGGGTTCTTCCTCACCTTATTTCTGCTATGCATACCTTGAATACAATTCTGGTAACGCGTTCTTCATCACATTATTACTGTTTTACATACCGTGACTACGTCCCTGGTAACACATTTGTATTATTGTAGCTGTATACACCGTGACCGTACCAGAGGATGCCCTAATAGGGACTGTTGTGCTGCGTCCTGTGAGCAGTGACAGAGATTCTTCCAGCAATAAGGAGCTGACCTTTGCCATTACATCAGGAAATGACCAGGTGGACTAAATCGAGCGTTTGTTTCGTTTTCAAAAATCGTTCTATGTTAAAACCGGTTTATATATCGTTCCGGCAGTGTAAAACGCAGACTGCAGACTGCAGACCAGGGGTAAAATGCAGACTGAGGGTAAAATAAAATATCAATAATAAAAAACACGAGGATCAAATCCGGATCAAATGAAGACTTGGGAGTGTTCGTACGCGTACCCGTGATTTGTTTTTCCAAAATCCCGAAAAGTCAAACCAAAAGGCGTTTCCTAGCCTTAGCCAAACATTACATTATCAAACCTTGAGTTCTTGATCTCCCCATTTCGTTGAACCAAGTTTCCCACAAGGGCCCGAACTAATCGTAATTCTATGCATTTTACCTTTGTTGACGTGTCGGCCGTTTTGAATTTTGTTTACGCGATTGGGTCTGGTACCGACCAACTCTTGCAGCGCATTTCCTTCATCCTGTTTTCATCGACAAAGTCTTAATAACATTCAAATCACCGCGTGTCTTATAAGTTGCTTAAAATGGCCTTGGAATTGTTCGGAACATAAGGCAAGCAAAACACGACAGCACAACAACAGGGCAAGCTAAACTTGTTGGTATCGAGCCTAGTTTGTGAAAGACGTTCAATCTTTGTACTCGACTTTGATATATAAAAAACGAGTCTTATATATATATATATATATATATATATAGACTCGTTTTTTATTATTAATGTTTTATTTTACCCTCAGTCTACATTTTACCCCCGGTCTGCAGTCTGCGTTTTTACACTGACCGGTTTATATATTGCAGATGAACCTGCGTTCAGATATATATTTTTTATTCAAATAGGTCATTGAAACGAAATAATAGCGGTGCATCAATTTCATAATTTAAAACTGTTTAAACTCGGACCAAAGTATCGACCAGGAATGTTTCACTCCTGGTTTCTATGTACAAGGTGCTATGGCCTTCGCTAGACTAGCAGCAGCGGCAGCAGCAGCAACAGCAGCAGCTTTGTCTATACTGTTTCATCAAGATGATGAGATCCCTAGAAATAACGTTTGGCTGCCGTAAACGGTTGACGTTTTTCTCGTTCTTTTCTTTCACTTGCTTCTCAAGGAAATATTCTGATCTTTGTTTTTTCCGCTAATGACAGGTTCCTCCTCAGTTTGAGGTGGACAGTTCGACTGGTGTTATATCAAGTTACCAAGAGTTTGATTACGACGAAAGTCCACAGAAATACACATTGACACTGACCGCCACAGACGAAGGACATCCACCGCTTACGGGGTCAGTAGTTTGTTGTTTTCTGTTCTAGCTCTGCGCCCTCCTCGTCAGTTTCGGGGAGCTCCCCTTTTTCTTCACGAAGATGCCCAGTTGAGAC